ATGGAACTCGGAGGAGGCCCAATCTATGCGATCTAATGGGTCGCGAGGAGGTAATTGGCAGGAGGTGGTCTCTCAAGTACCCACCTTCTCCCTGACGTAGTGATTCTGTAGGTTAAAATAATTGTGTTTGGAAAGGTTCTGTGTAAGGGACAATTATGAGCTTTTTGTGGCTTTGGCTGTTATTGGCAAAGGGCCTACTAAGTGATAACATCCTGAATAGTAGTTCCCAATGTTGTGAGAATGCCCAAGTAACCCCCCTTGCCCTTGAGGGAGGATCCGGGGATGTTGACAACCCCAAAGAACTGGGCAGAATCAGGTCACAGGGAGTGGATGCTTTGGAACAGGTCCGCTCCCGCCAATGGCGCATCGTCTATCCATGGGGACGGAACCGTAGGCCAACCCCAAGACCTAAGGTCAACCATCTGACAGTCCCTGTAAGAAATGGTGTAGAACATAGGGAGAACGGGCCCCTGCAACAATTGAGAAAAGGGAACTATATGTTAAGAATACTGGAGCCTAATTAATCAGTCTGACCCTGCCCTAGGTCAAAAATGCTGGTTGTGTTTATCTGCTGGCCCTTCATCTTACAATGCTGTCCCAGTTGAGCCAGAACTTTGGGAAAAGACCAAGGCCACAATAGTCTTTGAGAAGGGTGGCAGATGGAGAACCCAATCAGTGGAAGTAAAGTTGCATGGTGACTTTTACAGTGCATTAAAAAAGCTGGGTATTAGCTGCCTTCTCATAGTTGGCCCTATAGCCATTGGTGTGGAGGTCCTAGGATCGCCCTTCTTGTGTATCAAATGTTATCAGGAACCTGACATTCCTGTAGGGACACTGGGTGAAGAGCAATGTACATCAGAATTATACCTTAGCCCTAGAGAGACACTCTACAATAAAGTTTAAGCAATTATCTGAGGAATTTCAACAAAGCCTGAATCAAATTGCTGGAACCTTGGTTGAGGTCCAGGACCAAATAGATTCCTTGGCAGCAGTGGTTTTGCAAAACCGGTGTGCCATAGACCTCCTGACAGCTGAGAAAGGTGGTTTGTGTCTATTCCTGGTAGAAGACTGCTGTTTCTACATGAACAAGTCAGGTGTGGTCAGTGAAATAGCCAAAATAGATGTTATTTCTGCTGTTATGTGGTGTGGCCGGCCTGGCCTTTATCCTTTGCGTAATACCCCTACTCAGACAACTAGTTATGAGGTCAGTAAAGGAAATACAGGTTGAAAAGGAATTAGTTTTGATGGAAAGCCTTATTGACTGTAAGATTGCTCCACATCCCTATGATAAGGATGAGATTTCAGACACAGGCACATATGTACAACTTGCACCCTGGGGACTGGAGAGAGTGCCTTCAGAGGATAAGCCCTAAGAGTTATTCCATATGTATTACTAGTCTTTTTCCTTTCTCGCTGCTATATATCATTATTTTGCATTAAGTATGTTATGCCAAAGATTATATGCTTGCGTTGCTGATCAAAAACTCTGTAATAGGCTAGACTCAATTGTAGCTAAAAATAGAGTCTAGAAGGGAACAATAAGGCAGGATAAAAAGTGAATTAAAATATAAAAGTGAGATGTGGCAGAAAGAAGATATAAAGACCTGCTTTTAAGACGTGTACAAAAACTGGAAATGTCAAAAGCCCAAAACCACAGAGTTCAGCTAAAGTTCTTACAAAGCCACGTAGCCATTACCTGTGTCCCAAGACAAAAGGGGAAGTAAGACAGTATCTGCTTATAAGGCTTCTTTCCTCAAGATAACCAATAAGAAATGGGTTAAGTTAAAGTAGTACGTAAAGTGAGATTTGGACATTAAGTGTGAAACCTACTGGGTCAGGCTGGACAGCCTCTCAGGG